ATCGTCCACACGTAAGACTAAGGCACAAGTGAACATTGTTTTTAGATTTGGAGTGTTGCACATTGGATTGGAAGTAAGCTCATAAGTTTTCAGTTTCCTAGCTCCATTATTTGCTGAGTTAAAAGTTAGCGATAAAATCAAACATACAAAGATGCATGCACAATCTTTTAGCAGTATGTATTGTTATATAAAACACATAAAAAGCATATAAAAAATAAACGTAAAGCATTTGCTGTTTGAATGTCATCTTTCAGGTTCTGCACAACCTGACGATATTTGTGGAAGAAGGATGTACCAGCAGCTTCCCGCAGTTCGGTGACGATGAGAGCTACAAGCTGAACACCACAAATGGCGGTGCCATTCTCAAAGCTATGCAGGTCCGTTTTGAATCGAAATGCCCGAGAGCTGATTTTAATTTCAGCCTTCTAAAGTCTACATCATTTTAGTGATTTTTTACCAAAAACTATTCAATAGAGGTGTGTACGAGGAATGCCGATGCAATAGTACATTTTTCCATAGTTTCTTATTTCCGCTGTAAGGCCTTTAACAGTATGAATGGTTGTTGCTTTACGGTTTAATGCGTGAACTCATGTTGCCAGCGTTTTATTGGTTTTTTCTTGCAGATGGCATCAGCTGGGACGATAATGTTGCACTGTTGGGCCTTTTAAAATTTCAACCTTCCAGCATGTATGATTACCTTGAGGAGAGGGTAAGAGAAAGGAGTAATGCTGATCGTTTTGAAATCTGAACTTTTATGGATCCGTACACGAAACGCGTAAAAATTGCTCTAGTGACTTCAAAATACTTTTCAGTTTTTCTTCATACTTTAGAAAAACTTTTAAGGTCTGGGGTGCCCTGAGAGGCTTGGAATCATTTGCACAGCTCTTCTACGATGATAATACAAAAGTGCGAGAAGCTGAAATTCGTGACTATCCAAGATTCTCACATCGAGGAGTTTTGCTTGACACATCCAGGTTAGTCGGATATGCCTTTAGGTAGCTTTCAATAAATAGTTTGGGCAGTTGTTAGTTTCATGCAGCTGGCAACTTCAGCAGTGCCTAATTATGCGTTGTTACATATTTATGCAAATGCAAAAACTCACATTGTGACGGCCCGTGATGTGTATGAGTGTGTGTATGTGAGTGTATGCGTCTGTCCGGCTATTTGAGTTCGTTTTTTTTCTAAATTGTGCTATAAAGAAAGCACAACACAACATTACTACATAATTATGCTGTCTTGTATTTAACTGTCGGATTTCCAGCTCTAGTACTACTATGCTCACAAGCATATAGTTGTCTGCTGTAAGTAGCTTCTGCTAACAAATTGCTCAAATAATCACTCGTTTTCTTCGTTAATATGCGACTAATAAGATCTAAAGAGCATCGGAGGAAAGTGGCTTTACGAGAACTGGTACAGTCAAAATGTCGCAGTAATTTCGTTTTTGTGCAGGGATGATCAAAGCCGCACTGTGAAACTACTGCTAATTCAAAAGCAAAACAAAAAAAAGACTTCTGCTTACTTGAACGATGTTTTGACAGAGCTTCTCGGAAATTTTTTGTGAGCGCTGAAATTTTGTCTACAGGCATCTGAATGTTTTAAATGCAAGATTAACGACGATGGAGTTTATGCAGTGTTGTAGATGAAAATGCTAGTAAGCAGTTTGTATTTCATCCCTTAGCTTAAAGTTGACGAAAACTAAATTTACAAAGGCTATATATTGTTGCGCCTCATCTTTCGTTGCTTTCAGGCACTACTTGTCGGTGGATATACTCAAAGCGAACATTGAGTTGATGGCGCAAAATAAATTCAACACCTTTCACTGGCATATCGTTGACATCGAGTCATTCCCGTACCAATCCAAGGCGATCCCAACGTTGATTCTCGGCGCTTATACACCTAGGCACATCTATACACTAGAACAGATTAAGGTTAGTACTTTCCAAAACATACAGACGTGTGTGTGTGTGTGTGTGTGTGTGTGTGTGTGTGTGTGTGCGTGTGTCAACAGCGGAGCTTTTTTAACTGTTTGCAGCAAACACCGCGATATGATGTCAGATTATGTCTAAAGTGATTTCAGGGCTCACACAAACACTTCGCACTTGCGTTAGCTGTGTAAATAATGCCGCACTAAATTATCTGTTGTGGCTGAATTTCCCCCAGGATTTTAAGACTCAGCTTCCTGAAAAAAGGTTAACATCCTGAACAATGCATTTGATGAGTTCTGCCTAATTTTTCTGCAGATTTTTCGCTTATTTGGAAATTTCTACTACTGTAATTCTTTTGTTGCACCACCACACGCTCGCATGGCATGTCCACTGCCGCTTTTGCCATGAAGACAAGTAAATCTACGACAAAAAAAATGTTGTCTTTTGAGCCAGTGCAACACTAAAAAAATCAAAATAAATTTTAACATAAGAGCTGTTGAACCAGTAAGGGCAGAGTTTTTTTCATGTTGAAGATGAACATGCGAGTAAGTAGCCTATATTTCATCCCTTAGCTGTAAGCACAGGCAAAGCAGTGGGTACGAATGAGTGGAAATCATCAATACAGCCTCCTACCCAGAATGCACAAAATACCCTTATTAGCAAGAGAGGCGTGGAAAAAAAGTTTTTAGGAAGAAAGTAGCGACAAAATAAGGAGAGGATAACCATAGAATTTAAATGTTACTGAAATTCCCGAAGTTATAAAAATAGTTTGAGTATGAGCGCGTTTAAAAATGATGTGCTAATTGATTGTATAACCACTTTATTTAGGATATAGTAGATTATGCGCGATTACGAGGGATTCGAGTGTTGCCGGAATTCGATACACCCGGTCATATGAAAT